CAATCGCTTGTCATGGATGTGGGGTGTAAAGTTCTATGCTTCTTGAGCTAGAAGCCCTCACAAAATGGTAGAACTCTTGTTGAGATGACCTCAGAAAACAAGATTATACTCTAATGACGTACACTAAATGGATATGAAGATAAATTTTGAAAAGAACCCAAGAAATTTTGCTAAATGGTCAAAAAGTAACTGCAAAGGAAAATAACCATATAAAGTTCATGTGAAATGATAACACTATTGGTGCACTAAACTTTTAACCTCCATGTAGGAACCTTTACCAGGACAGATAGCCCAAGAATATAAATCCGCACTTAATATCATGAATCAGACCAATCAAGTAGGGCAACAATAATTGCAAAAGGATCTCTCCATGCAAAACTCCAATGCTTCATTAACATATACATTCAGTCATTCTTTTTAACAGATCTAAGCTAAACATATTTCAAGATAAGATTCAAAACACATTTTAATAGAAATAAAACTTCAAATACCTTGGCTTTCTGGACTGGTCTCCCTCTAGAATCATCCTTTATGTCAACAGTCGATGTCATGATTTCTGCATTGATATTCAAGAATATGTAAATTGAATAATGATAGTTGCTTTGCAGAAAGATATAAAAGTAGATAGAAGCCTCACTCTTCTCAACGGCCAGCCCATTGTTTTTCAGAATTTCTGCAATTGTAACAACAGTGGCAATAGCTGCAGTGGTACAATGAGAATTAATCTGCGAATTAGCATTCATACTAAAGGAATCCAAACTATAATAAAACACTACAATTTTCAATGCAACTTAGCTCCCTCAAACTATAGAACTGCCTAAGTTCCAAAATTCTTGATTAGAAGTTTGTTTTACGGAATCACATTCATTTCCCATGTTTGATAAGTGCACACAGGAGGGGAGGTTCCCATTCCTATCAGTGTCTAAAACCCATAAAATGGGGTTTTGCATTCCCCAAAGGAGCAGGCAGGTCTCCCATCTACTGGCTTAAACTTCATAATAAATGACAACAACAACAATGACCCTATTTATGCCTCCAAAAAACATTAAAGAATTGCATTGGTTTCATAAAACTATCTCCCCTCCCAACATTGCCAAATAATGAAATGGAGCTAACTGTCATGGTTTCTATAAACCCATGGAACAGTAATGGGTATCAGATTCTTGGAATCCCATTCTGCAAAGCAGACGCTACCTTAGAGCAACCCCTCTACTTGTTAACTAAACACTTGTCCATTTATCCCTTCCAACTACCAATTAGAACAATTTTACTACAAGCCTTTGTTTTCCTATTAAAAGTTTGTTCTCTTTCTATGAGTATATATTGAAATAGTAAGGACTTAATTACTTGAAAATTGTAATAATCATCATATTAAACATGAGCAAGGAAACCTAAGCAATGACCAAACTGGACCAACAAACGAGAGAACTTCTTCATCCTAGCCCACTGGAACATGTATGCAAGAGTCTACACTCTAGAAATTGTGAAACACGTCAAGATTTTATTCAAATTCTCACTACTAGAAACAGAGTTATTATGACATAATGGCTCTTGGCAAACTTTCTCTTTCCAAGGCTAAACAAATGTAATATCCACACTATTGATCCCAGCTTTAATTCACTATGACCAACAGACGTCAAACAACAGGAATGTTAGCTTGTGCATAGAAACCACAACAGGAATGTTAACTTGTTTAATAATAAAGATGAACCCAAAGAACACCCCTACAAATGACCTAACATTAAGTTTCATTAGTTATCCAGAACTTAGTTAGCATCATGTCGAAGAACATATTAATAAGGCACACACTAGCACATGCATATGCACAGAGATCCACACACACGCACACGCACACACGCACACACAGTCGTAAGTTTTAGAGCTTAATGAGATGGAAACAGCTCATTGATTTCATACCCATTCCTAAAGCAGAGAGCTCCACCTCATTGTACTGTTGCATATACCTCTGCAAAACAATCAATTGACAGAAACATGATGAATACGAATAATAAATGAACTGATAAGAATAAATTATTAATCCCAAAACACTTCAAGAAGAAAAAAGAACTGATTCGTTTATGTCAACCAAAAACATTCAATTTCCAGGTAAAGATTAATTTTGCAAGTTAACCAACAAAGTCAAATTTCAGCAGAAGCCAGGCATTATAAATAAGAAAGAAGAGAAAACCCAGAACCAATTTAGGCATACAAGCATATCTACACATGTATGCGCATGTAAATATCCGTACAAAGACAGAGAATTAAGAACAGGGTTGGGAGAAGGGTTTACCTTGGCAAGATTAACATAGAAAAAGAGGGGCTTTTTGGTATTCGAGACCTGAATTCGGTTCTTCTTGTGTGAATCTGCGATGATGATGTTGTTCACACCCTCAGTAATCTCCTCCATTGCAGTGAGCCAATTAAGTGAACAGCTTCCAAAACCCTAACCCTAAATCCCCTTTTTGTCAGTCTCTCGGTTTTTTCTCTTTCTAAAATTGATTTCTTATATATATATGGGCCTGCGGTACCAAAAACTGGTTCGGTCCGAAACGATAAGGGTACAAGCATTACAGCCAGTCGGTACCCACGGTACAATACTTCAAAGCACGCATAAGTTTTTTTTTTTTTTTTTGGCTATCATTCTGGACAGTGCAATATTTCGATCTCGATTCTCACTGAACTTTAAAAAACTAAAACCTTCAAATAGATACCCCAAAAAAAAGTTCATTTTGTCATAATATTATAGGAGTTTTGTTTATACTCTTCTCTTATTTGATTTCTTTGGGTAAATTGGAAGTCCACACCTATTTGAAATTTTCTGAAGTGACCGTCGCGCTTTAACACAAAAAATTATAAAACGTGTATTTATTTATTAATTCTATATTTTTAGGTTAATGAAATATCAATGATATCGGTCACTCATACAATGTGATTGGACATCAATAAATTTATCATACGTAAATTTAAAAGAGGTTCTTATTTTTTTCCATAAAAGAGTTCTTATTTGTTGCTATGAAAGAGTTTCTTATCTTTAACATTCAAGTTGTAGAAGCATAAACCATAAATCTACAAGCATAATGATAAGAGCATCTCCAGCGCAGCCCACCAAACCAGGCAAAAGGCCCCCCAGGGCAAGGTTTGGCCCTCCAGCGCTGCAGCCTGCAGCCCAATTTCGCCTGGGTCCCACCAGCCTAGGCTAGCCCAAGGGCAGGTTTCGCCTGGGCTTCAGCTCGAGTTTTGTGACGTCAGCGCTGATGTCACGCTGACGTCAGTGAGCAAAAAAATATTTTAAAAATCCAAAAAAATTTCAATTTTTTTTTTAAAAAACCCAAAAAATTATAGATGCTTTCCCTATAAATACATAACAATTTTATTCACTTTCTAAATTGTTTATATCTTGTTGCATAATATTTTTTTCCGTTCTTGCCTTAGACTTGCCCTAGACTTAGCCCTCATAGGTGGAACCACAAATGGCAAGGCTGATACTATTCACATGAATAGTGGCAGCCCTTGCTTGCCCTTGCCCTAGACTTAGTCCTTATGGGTGGACGTGCTCTAAAGGAAACAACTTGGAACTGGCAACAAATATTGCATATAAAAAAATAAATACCAATCATCTAAATATTGTATCACAAATCAGGCCACAAAAAACTTGCATCACAAATTTAAAAGGATAAAGGTTAGATGGTTGGTCCTGTAATGATGCGGCGCCTTCCGCTTTAGACGACCTTCGGGGAGATTGAATTTTAGCGCATGGATGGAGTCCAACCACTTCCTCAAGTGGTCTGGGCCTAAGTTATTTTTGGGCTCTCATGAGTAGGCCCCCATTGACGTTCTGGGTACCAACACTTTCAATTCTCTGTGATTGATTGTGTTTATCAATAATATTCCATCTTTTTCGCAAAAAAAAAAAAGAAAAAAAAAAGAAACAAATGAGAGGTAGAGGAAATAAAGAATATGACAGCCCAAACTGAGAGCATTACCCAAGTGGGCAAACTGGTCTGCAACAAAATTCTTTTCCTTGGTAAAATAGGTCATAGAGTAAGCCCAGTCACGGCAAATCAACTCCTGAGTTATTTTATGGTGAGGGCCTTATATGGTCCTTAGGTTAGGCATTATCTCTTAACCGTAAGATCATATCAACTAATTTAATTTAACAATTAAAAAATAGGACCTCACCTAAGGCACATATAAGGTCCTCACTCTTCAACTACTCCTTATACTACTTAACAAGACTGAAAAGAGGGTGGCTCTCTTGAGTCTTGAAGCCTTCATCCCAAGAAATAGTTAGCCCTTAAAACAGACCCTCAAACCCCAAAGCACTCTCGTCTCTTGAGTCATAAAGAAAGAACCTTTCGAGAGCTTTTGTTTGTGAAAATCATATGTATAAGCTGTAGAACAGTGGTGCAGGTTGACAAGGATTAGCAAGGAAAAGCTGAGGGCTTTATCGTGCATGCCAAAGCATTGAGCATAGTCACTTTCAGTCCCAGCATGTGTACGAATTTACCAACTCTGATTAACATTTTATAAACTTTACAAGCCTTAGGACAACATTATCATAATTCATAATGTTGGTTGCTTTCGACATCACCTGTGACCAGTTTGCACTGCTCCACTGGAGTATGTTTTTGGACATGTTGCCAAGTCTTAAATAAAATATCATACCTACTTGAAAACATAATATAACTTTATCAAGTATTGGGAAAAATTCGGTGACTTCATTAAATAATCAAAGAAGTATATTAACTACTTGTTAATACATACTTAGTATAACCCGGGTGTAAAACCCGATCCCCGATTTGATTAGATAAAGTACGTAGGTTAGGCTAGTTGGTTAGGACAGTGAGCCCGTTCCCTTGCATTCAAATTCGAGTCCCCTTCCGGTAGAATACTAGCATAAATATAATAGTACCACTACAAAGTTAACTTTGCATATATTTTTTAAAAACTAATCAGCTAAAATTTTCTTATATATAAATTAAAGTAGCAAGAAATCGTTAAGATATATTAACTCAAAGGGATAAAAGTTAATCTTGTACGAATTCAAGATTAGTGGGTGGTGAGTACCAATAAATGGTTCGTGAAATAAAATTTATTTGATCGATCATTCAAATGTACGATCGTACCCGTTTGGTGCCTAATATTGGAGGAGAAAATGAAAGTAGAGGTGAATGACTTTTCATGTTGGACGGATTAGGAAGGATTAGTTATAAGTTGTTGTTATCCTACCATTTTGTGGGGATTAGATTGGATAAGTTTTCTTCATGAGTTATCTATCTTCTATCTTCAACTAGATTAAAAAAAATATTTCATTTCTTCCTTAAACATGCTTTAAATATATAGAGTATCCAATTCAATGTCACCAAACATGGCCATCCGATAGTTTGATCGAGAACACTTTCATATATTTTAGTTGGAATTCTACCAGAGAAAAATCGAAGCCTCGAGGCGGATACCTACCTTACTTGAATCTTCCCAGAAGTGGTCTTGCCTACGTAATTAGAAACTCATAGGCAATGCTATATACTTGTAAATCATGCCAAAACCAGATGAAGGGTACTTTCTTGAATTCAATTAAAAAATGTGTCCCCTCACTATTTTAGTGTCTTCAATCACTAAAACACTATACATGTTTTTTTTTCACGTACATTTTACATGCTAACTAGACAAGCTCCACGACATACTCACTCATATTAAACCCACTCAACAACATTAATTTATGAATCACATAAGTGTCACCGCAAGGATTCCAAAACACAAAGCTCAACAGACGTATAAAATAAACGTGAAATGCATGCAGATCAATTTCTTTATGCTTTAATTTAATTTCTGTTTAATTAATTTGGGGTGCTTTATTAGCTTCTGTTTAATTAATTTGGGTGCTTTATTTATGCAACCCATTGTTGTCGCATAAAGTCGGTGATATTATTTTATGGAGAGGCAAGTAGGCCACATGCACTTTATATGTGCCTCGTGATGATGTCAGAGACAAAGAGAAAAGGGAGGGGGCGGCTGCAGTTGTCTCTACTGTAAAATTTTAGTGGAATTTTAGTAGAAGAAGGTGATTGATCCAATTACGATCCTTTTCAGAAAAGAAGAATGAGTAGGGATTCATGTTGCGTAAGCAAATGAGATTTTAGGAAAATTGGCATATATATGAAATATATGCCGACAGAACCATAACCTTCAACATGACATTTGAGGAAATGTGTTGGCGTGAATCAACTATTTTAATTAATTTGGGTGCTTTATTTATGCAACCCATTGTTGTCGCATAAAGTCGGTGATATTATTTTATGGAGAGGCAAGTAGGCCACATGCACTTTATATGTGCCCTCGTGATGATGTCAGAGACAAAGAGAAAAGGGAGGGGGGCGGCTGCAGTTGTCTCTACTGTAAAATTTTAGTGGAATTTTAGTAGAAGAAGGTGATTGATCCAATTACGATCCTTTTCAGAAAAGAAAAGAAGAATGCGTAAGCAAATGAGATTTGAGGAAAATTGGCATATATATGAAATATATGCCGACAGAACCATAACCTTCAACATGACATTTGAGGAAATTTGTTGGCGTGAATCAACTATTTCTACTACGAATGGATTTTGTAATTAATGTTTTGAGTAAAATTAGAAGATTTTGTATATATTTTTTTTATTTTTAAATCAGGTTCCAACTAACAAAGAGAGATACCATAAGTCGGTTGGGAGACTGATTTATTTGTCACTTACACGCCCTGACATTGCCTGTGCGATAAGTGTTGCTAGCCATTTTATGCATTCACTTGATGAGGATCATATGGATGTTGTGATACGTATTCTGAGTTACTTAACGTCTCCTCCTGAAAGGGGTTTATTATTTAAAAAG